CCATCGCATGCAATCCCCACAATGCAGAAGCCCAGAGAAATTGACCTCCACCACCCTCTGCAGAGTCAGAGGACCCACCCAAGGCCACACAGCGAGCCACCGTGTCAAGACAACCACGTCTGTAGGATGTCAGGGCCCAGGCGCCACGAGGCCAGACTAAACCTGCAGGAACACGCAATCTCTCTCCCGTGAACTCTGCCAGGACACGGCCTTGCTGGACCCAGGAGGGCCCACCTCACACCCTCGAGAACCCGTGGGCACCAAGGAGCAAGAGGGGCCGCAGTCCCCTCGGGAAGGACTGATAGCGCAGCTGTGCCACCCCTGCTCCTTGTGAGCTTGGCCCAGTCGGCCCCTGCCCCGAGGAGGCCACAGCCACGGCTCCGGGTCCCCAGCACCAAAGGAAGCAGCCAGTGCCCCCGACAATGAGCGAAAGTGGGGCCTATGCAGTTACTCATTCATTCATTCATTCAGAGCACAGCTGCGGTGCAAACACTGAGCTACTGAGGCAGGCGCTGTCCCAGGGCCGGGATTCAGCGGTGACGGAGACAGACACACCCCCTGGCCTGGCGAGTTTATGTTCCAACAGAATGTGAGTCAACACACGATGACGAATCCCTCCTCCTCTCAACTCATCTTACGACTCTGCAAACCCCTAGACACCTCTTCAGAGTAACATTCACTAGAGATAAATCACAGAGGAGGCACAGAGGGGGTCCCAGCAGAACGACCACCACTAGAGTCCCACGTAACTCTCGCAGGGTCTGTAGGTCGGAGGAGCCACAGGTCTCACACCAGCCAGAACCCTCCCTGCCCTCGCCCTCGGCAGACACAGCCAGTCAATCGCAGCACCCTCTCCCATGGCACTGGTGCAGTGTCAGACACCTTCTCAAGCATGACCATCAACCCATGGTGCTGCTGAAGTGTCCCCGGGCCACCTGGGGGAAGGGGGGTGGAGAGGGCTCACGGGCCACAATCTGCCCCATACCACCCCCTGCTCGACAGTACTTCCCTGCCTTTATCTGCTTTACACTTCAGGAAGCTGTGACAAAGTGCTCTGCTGCTGAAAACTGAAATGTGACAACCCCTGGGCTAGGTGTCCTCTGTGCTTCTTTCATCTCTAGTAGGTGACAGGTGTATATTTTGATTCCCAACCAGACCGCAGGCTGGTCCTCTGGTGAGCAGCAGAGCACAACCATTAGGTTTCATCTTCCAGGCCAGCCATGCCTGCTAGGAGCACTGTGATCAACCAGTTATGTCTGCCACTGGCAAGGGCCAGGGGTGATAAAGAGGCAGTAGGGGCGAAGGTGACATATTTGCTGCCTTGGTAAAGGATGCTTCATAAAAGTGTCCCTAGTGTATGAAGGCAGGAGAGGTCTATACCTGTGGTCCAGCCGAATACAAGCTGCTCAAAGAGAGAGCCCCCAGTGTCCGACTTTGCTGGACTCACTACGTTGGGTGACAGGGCAGGATGGAGTCATCCTTCACTATCGGGAGTTCACAGTGGGGTGCCGAGGACCCTACGGGAAGTCACAGGTGAAGAACAGTGGTACTGTCTGCTCTGACCTCGTCTCACCCAGACCGACCTGGCACACACTCCCCTCCCCGTCATCTCCCACTGAAGACCCCGTCAGGGCCCTCTCCACCCTCCGCCAGTGTGGCAGGCATGTCTGCACCCCTCTCCTCTCCCCTGTGGGCCTCCTGTGAGACAGAGGAGCAGGCGGTTCTCAGGCCAGCAGCACCAGCTCCCGGGAGCTCCTCGGGAATGCAGGTTCTCAGGCCCCACTCAGACCTGCACAATCAGAAGCTCTTGGGGGGCCCGGCCATCTGCATTTTACACACCTCCAGGGTGCTGAGGGCACCTGAGAATCACCTAGAGAACTTTAGGGCTCTGAAGCCCAGGTGGCACCCCAGAAAGGAACTCAGCACCTCTGGAGTGAGCTGGCATGCGTTTCTGAGTGCCCCCAGGTGATTCCCGCACACACGAGGGGGTGGGGGGCAGGCACTGAGAGCCAGGCTGCAGACCCCACTCCGAGGGGGAACCCCAGCTCCCTCCTTGCTGTATGGCCAAGCCCCGGTCTGAGCAGCTGTGGGCCTTGGTCTCCTCTGAAATGGAGACAAAGGGACCAGCTCTCACAACTCAAGCTCCGTGCAGGCCCCGCTTTCCCGGAAAGCCCGGGTCCCCCGGCCTCACAGCAGCTGTCCCCACAGAGCTGCTCTCCAGGGAAGGTCCTGGGCGCTCTGACGAGGACACACCAAACCGTTTCTCACCGACTCGGCTCAGTAACCCGCGCCCAGGGGACCCGAGGGCAGAGCGCCACGGCCCATGGCTCCCTCACCACCTGGTCGTCTCTTGGTTGAGACAGTGACCGGCGTCTGCCCGGGGCCAGCCACTCCGCAGTCCCACGCGGCCGCTGCAGCCGCTGTCACACTCCAGCGGAGCCTGGGCCTCGGGGCCTCTGGGCGCTGACCCAGCCGTTCATCTGCCGGCTTCGCTCTCGAGGACGAGGACGTGGCTCTGCTCCCTCCTCCTCTTCTCAAATCTAAGCCACTGAGAAAACGCAGGCAGTGCAGCTCCAGCCGCAGCCTGGAATGGAGGCTCATCCTTGTCCCCTCCCAGAGACCAAGGACACTGTCAACTCCTGCCTCTGAGAGGCGACTGAAGGCACCAAGAGGGCGGCACGGCTCAGAGTCACGCCTCCCCGCAAGGCCACCAGGCTGAAGGCGAGGGGCCGATATGGCTCAGGGGAGGGCTGGGAGGACGACAGTGGCACACATCAGGCCCTATGCACACCGCGGGCGCTGCCTGTCACTCCATCCAGCCTTGGATGGGGAACCTGGCCCAGAGATGGTAAGCACCTTCCCCGGGCCGCTCAGCAGTGACGGGCCGAGGCTGGACGCGGGTCTGCAGTCTCTGTGACCCGGCATCCAACACACAGAGCTGTTGTTCCAGTTCTCAGGCCTTCATGGCAGACAGGCGCCATTACTCCTATTTCACAGATGACAGAACTAAGCCTCAGAGAGAAGGAAAATCTGCCCCAGGTGGAGGTCCTCAGGTGTGCCGACTGAGCCCTACCCACAATACCACCGCGACTCCTTAATGGGAACCAGTGCCCCCAATATCCGTGGGATTTGTCAGAAAATCGCCCTGTGCCCCACGTCCTCAGTCCTAAGAAGTTCGCCTGGTCGTCGGACTTTAAAATAAAGTCAGTTCCGTGGAAGACCATCCAGAAACCCTGTGCTTCTGCCTCCCAGACCCTTGGCGGAGAGCTGAACTGCAGGCCAGACGGGAGCTGTCACGAGCAACCTGAGTCTTTGATGACACTGTCCCCCACCCTATAAACTGCCTCTTGTCCACTGAGGTCAGCAAACCAACAAAACATCACACAAACGGAAAAAAAATAAACAAACAACTGGAAGGAGGGAGAATCGCCAAAATGCCGAGAGTCTCTGGATGACGAATCAGCCCAGACCCAAAGCTGCTTTCTTCCTTTACGCTCCATTTTCCAATTTTTCTACATGGAACGAGTATTCCATTTACAATGGAAAAAATAACTGCTGAACCTAACTTGATCTTAGAGTACCAGGCGAGCAGTCATAAACGCTGCTCCTATTAATTTCCGTGCCTGAACGCTTCTGGGGGAGTGGGGAGGGGGCGAACAGAACAATTTTGGACCTTGATGTTCAGGTAGTGATGCCATTTTTCTTTTGGCTTCTCAGAATGGATCTCGTTTCCCTGTAAAACCTCAGAGTTGTGAGTGGCAGATATTCTGCCAACAAACCCACCTCTTTTGTTCCTTCACTGTGGATCAAAGGTCACTGAAAACCAGAACCAAATGGGCTAAAACTTTAATTAGTGACAGGTTGGGAAGGCCTGAGCCATAGCTGAGCCAGGAGCTTTCCTGGAATAACTCCAGGTCTGCCCCTGGCTGGGAATACAGAATCATCCAGAAAGATGCCGGGGTCTGTCTTCCCAGAAGCCTCCTGCCTAGGCAGCCTGAGGGGTCTACAGCAGCCCCCAGATCCCGATCTCAAGCCCCAGGACTCTCAGGGCGGACCCCGGGGACCCTACTCTGACCCAGGAGAGCAGACAGATGGTGGAAAGCTCCTGGTTAACTCAGCCAGGAATTATTCCTTGAGAACCCAGGAGCGTGGCCGCCTGGGGGGCCCCTGGCTTTCAGCAGGGCAACTTCCTTCAACCTGTGGCAGAGCCTGCCGTGTTCCTGCTGTCCACAGGCTCCCACGGCCTAGCTGGACCAGACCCAGGCTCACATACTTACCACCGCAGCTCCCAGGGAGCCAGACCCCGGGACCCTTCCTTCCAGCTCTGAAGTCCTCAACCCTGCACCAACACCAAAGACACCTCAAAATCCAACATGGCGCCCACCAATGGTCAACTCCAGACCCGTTGCTTAGGGCCCAGGCTGGCTACCCCACTGAACCCCAAACTAAGTCCTGCATCCCATTCAGAATAGCTATTGGCCCAAAGCACCAAGTCTTGCTAAAGCCCCTTGCCTGGCGCCCACAGCTGATCTGTCCAGTTGGTGCTGTCTCCAGGGGCTCATGAACGATCTGGGCTGCAGGATGGGGTGGCCTGGACAGCTTCCACCCTATTCCCACATCTCTGCAGTGCTGGTCGCTCCATGCCCACCTGGGATCACAGCCGTGGTGGTATCACACCTTTCCCTTAACCAGCGCTGTCCTACGCATCTCACCAGCAGGATGGCCCAACCTCTTTATCCATCGATATTTTACTCTAAATACCAGCATGTAAAACAGATACAGATGCTGTTCTGTTTGAGAGGAGGCCATAGGACCCAGAACCTCCTCAGACCAACCATTTCCTTGTCCCACCTCTGAGAACCGCTGAGGATTGCCAGGGTTCCAAAGGGCATAGTTCGAGAAGCACCAGTGTAGGCCTCAGACTGCGCAGCACCACCACCACGCCGGCCCAGCAACCCCTAACCGCCCGGCCGCCCCGAACCCCCAGGCCTCCTACCTAGAGGCCGCGATCTCCGCCTTCTGCTTGGCGATGGTGGCCGCGCGCTCAGCTGCCTCCACAGCCCGGTCCACCTTCTCGCGGATCTTGCTGGCGCGCAGCGGGATGAGGTTCTTGCGCTTGCCGCTCACGAGCACATTCTGCTTGTACTTGCCCTCCTCTTTGGTGCCATCGGGGAAGGTCATGCAGCCGTAGCCGTGCCGCCGGTTGCCAGCCCACTCGCCCTCATAGCGCAGCCCGTCCGAGCGCTGGCTCACGCCGAAGCCCGAGCGCTTGTCGTTCTTCCACTCGCCCACGTAGGTCTCCGTGGTGGTGGCGTCGATGTCGTCCTCGATGACCGACAGCTCGGCCTCGCCCTCGCCCAGGCTGATGGTGGAGTGGATGTCGCTGGCCGTGGAGCTGACCGTGCTCATGCCCGCCTCGCTGCGGAAGGAGCTCTGCTTGCTGCGCTGGCTCGCCAGGCTGCTCTTGGACTCGGACTTGCGCAGCTTCAGCCCGCTCAGCAGCGAGCGCCGGAACAGCCCCTTCTTCTTGCTCTTGAGGATCTCGGAGTCGCTGTGTGCCACCAGCACGAAGCCCCCCCGGGACACAGCCGGGCTGCCGGCCACCGCCGGAGACCCGTCGGGGTGCAGCGCCGCGCCGTTGGTGTGCTCGCTGCGCAGAGAGTTGATGGACGTCCTCAGGGGCGAGCGGATGACCGCCGCCATGCCGTAGGGGACACTCTGCCTCACGCCATAGCCTTGGCGCATGCCACCAACCCACTGGCCCTGGTAGGTCCCTGTGGAGACAAAGGAGAAGGGTGAGCGCCCAGAGGCACACGACACCGTGGACGGGTCCCCAAGGTTCTCCCCGTCTTCGGGGAACTCAGCGAGGTTTACAGACCATGGTGCGTTTTTACAGTTGACACCACTGACAGTCACCTTAAAGACACTTCCGTCCTGCGTCCCACAGTTGAATTTCGTTTTCTCTCTTGGGAGTTGGGGAGGGGGAGGGAAGGCATGACAGTCTGATGTAGAGGCGGGAGCACAGAATCAAGAGTGAACTGGAGAGCTCCCCCTGCGTGGGCAGAAGGCCCAACCCAGAGAAGACCCAAGAGGGAAGCAGTGAAGGAGGAAGAGCACATCCTGGCTGAGTGGCCCCCAACGGGGGCTGTGGGACCAGGAGTGGCAGCTACAGGGACACAGATCTGGGCTACAAACTGGGTATTGAAGAGGCTGCCTTGGAAGGTAGTAAGTTCCCCATTGCTGGAGGTACCCAAGAAGAGTTTGGAAGACCACTCGGCGAAGACACCTTAAGTGCATGTGGCCTTTAAGGTATTGAAATCGGCAGACCTGACATCCCCCAAAGAATCAAAAGCACTGACTCAGATATTTGCACACCTTTGTTCACAGCAGCATTATTTACAATCGCCAACAGGCGGAAACAACCCAGATGTTCATCAGTGGGTAAATGGATAAACAAAATGTGGTCCATCCATACAACGGAATATTATTCAGCCTTAAAAAGGAACGAAATTCTGACCCATGCTACAACATGGATGAACCTCGAGGATATTATGCTCAGTGAAATAAGCCAGCCACAAAAGGATAAATACTGTAGGATTCCACCTATATGAGGTACTCATCGTAGTCAAATTCATAGAGACAGAACTTAGAAGGGTGGGTGCCAGGGGCTGGGGGAGGGGGAATAGGGAATTATTGCTTGATGGGTACAGAGTTTCCGCTTGGGGTGACGGAAAAGCCTTGAAAATAGAGATGATGGTTGCAAAATATTGTGAATGAAATTAATGCCACTGAACTATACACTTAAAAATGGTTAAAATGGCAAATTTTATATTATATACATCCTACCGCAATAAAATAAAAAGAAAAAAATCAGCAGAACTGGGCTCATATTCTCGCTCCACTCATTGGCCGTGTGACTTTAGGCAAGTTTCTGGACCTCTCTGACCCTCAGTTTCCTTATCTGTAGAACGGGTCTAAATTCCTCGTGCCGCAGGTTGTTGTGTGAATTAAATGACCCTCAGCATGGTGCAGTGAGGCGGGTCCCCACCCTCCACCTCCTCCCACCCTTGCTCCTACCAAGAGCTTTTCCTGCCTCGGGCCACCACTGTTCACACTGGGCAGTGGGCACCTTCTTCCCCAAGAGACTGTGCACCCGAGTGCCCCACAGCACCCACTGTACCCCCTCCCAGAGACAGTCAACCTGGCTGTAAGTGGAGGACAGTGGTGAAGGGACGAGCAAAGGCACTGGCTGATTCTGTGCCACTCAGCGTCCTTGGTGTGGCCCATGCTGGGGCAGAGACCCCAAGGCTCACACTAGCCCCGGGTTGTGAGAAGGACCCTGGGACTAGGTGCACGGTCCTGGGTGGCTCCTGCCCTGCATGGGCATGCGGTGGCCTGTGGTAAGCTGGCCTTTTAAGAAGGCCAGACCTGCTGCCTGGACAGCGGCCTACTGCAGTCAGTCCAAGCTGGGGATACGCTGCCATTGTAGGGACTCTCACCCTGGCTCACTGCCCTTCTACTTGTGGGCTGAGGACAAGGCTGTCAGATAAAACACAGGGTGCCCAGTTAAACCTGAGTTTCACAGGAATAACAATTTTTTAGGGACATATGGTATAAGACATACTTAAACTAGAAATGATCAGCTTGATGCCCTGAAATTCAAATTTAACTGGCCATCCCATAGGTTTATTTGCTGAATCCAGCAACCCCAGCTAAGATCCTCCAAGATGGCACCCCAGGTTTTGCCGAGATGGGGGCACTAAGGATGGCAGGCTCCCCTCCCACAGCTGAAAATGCCCCTGGGAAGGAAGGAGACTCAGCCCACTCCACTCCCAGCACCCTTCCTTCCCCTCAGGGAGGCTGGGGCTTACAGATAAGGATGGAAACCACAGTTAAAAAGCGAAGGCATAATGGATAAGCAAAATGTGGTCTATCCATACAACGTAGTATTATTCAGCCTTAAGGAGGAAGGAAATTCTGACACATGCTACAACATGGATGAACCCTGAGGACATTATGCTCAGTGAAATAAGCAAGTTACAAAAGGACAAATACTATCTTACTTACTTATTCCACTTATATGAGGCCCCTAGAGGAGTCAAGTTCATAGAGACAGAAAGTAGAAGGGTGGTTACCAGGGACTAACCACCAGGTAACCAGGTGGTTAACGGCAGATGGAGGTTACCGTTTAATAGGTACAGAGGTTCAGTTTTGCAAGATGAAAAGAGCCGTGGAGATGAACAATGGTGATGGTTGTGCAGCATTATGAACGTATTTAATACCACCAAACCGTTCACTTTAAAATGGTTAAGATGGTAAATTTTATGTTATTTGTATTTTACCACAATTAAAAAAAATAGGTTCTCAGAGTGGGCCATAATCCACTTTGACTGGTGTTCCTATAAGCAGAGGAGATGAAACCAGGGGTGCGCATAGAGGGACAACCCTGTGAAGAGGCAGGGAGAGGGTGGCTGTCTGCAAGCCAAGGAGAGAGGCCTCAGAAGAGCCCAGCTCTGGGGCTCCTCGATCTTGGACTGCCAGCCTCCAGAACTGGGAGAGAATAAAGGCCTGTTGGTTAAGCCCCTCAGACTGTGATATTCTGTTATGGCAGCCCGAGCAGACTAACACAGGATTCTCAATCTAGCCAAGTGACATAAGGATAAAAATAAGAACTAAAAGTTAGGAGGAGAAACCAAGAAAAAGGATAAAAAGCCAGATTGCCGAGAACGTATAAACAATGAATTTTAAAAGAGAGCCTTCTCCCCTCCTGCAGGACAGAGGAAGAAAAGTTTCTGCAAAAAATGAACGAGAAAAGTGTGTTCCAGGAACAGGAGGCAGAGAAGATAGTGGGGGTGGGGCACGGGTGCTGTGCTGAACAGAGACTCTGCCCACTTCCCCGGCCAATCCGGGCACTGGCAGCCAGAATTACCAAGCCCAGGCAGGGAGAACTCCTCTGGGGAGACTGAATCGGGCCGGCAGTGGAGGCCGCCACACACACAACTTTCACAACTTTCAGTCAGCTTTCCCGTCCCTCCCTTTAATAGACGAACAACCAAGCAGCAGCAGACATCTGCAGAGAGCCTCCAACAGGAAAGAGAGAGACGAAAACAAACAAATAAATGGGAAAATGAGAAATTGAGGGAATCGTGAGAACTACAGGGTGTGGAAGAAGACATCAGGGAAGCCACAACTTAAATCCTCATCGAGATGAGATACTGCATCCACAAAATGAGAGTCAAATGCCACAGAAAAGGGAAAATCCAAGACAAAGAAAGAGCTCCTGCAAATTAAAAGTATGATGGCTAAAATAAACATTTTGATAAATGAGTTGGAAGATAAATTCAAGAAAATCTTTCAGAAAATGGAACAAAAGGAAGAGGTGGAGAAAATAGTAGGAAATAGTGACAAGAAGATTAGAGTCATCCATGAGTCATCCAGAAGGCCGCAAATCTACATATCAAGGGTGCCAGAAAGCAGTGAAGGAAAATTACCAAAGGGATAAAATAAGAAAGTGTCCCAGAATTGAAGGATGTGAGTGTGCAGGGGGAAGGGGCTCACAGACACCCTGCACAGTGAAGGAAAAAGACTCAACCAAGACATGGCATTGTGAACTTTCAGAATTCCAGTGAGCAAAGTTCCCAAATTCTTCCAGAGAAAAAGAAAAACAGACTGCACAGGAAGGACTGAGCATCAGAATGGCACAAGATTTCTTACCAACAACATCGAAACCTAGAAGTCATGGGAAATTGACCCCCCGCCAATTCTGACAAAAATGATTTTCAATCTGGAATTCTATACCCACCAATTTATCAATCAAGTAATTAGGCCACAAAAACTATATCTTCCATGCATCCTTTCTCAGGAAGCTACTGCAGGATATACTCCACTAAAATGAGGGAGTAAACTGCAAAAGAGGAAGACACAGGGAGATCCAACAAACGGGAGAGGCAAAGGGGACTCCCAGGAGCAGAGGGGGTGTGGGGGTATATATATAAAATCTTCCAGAAAGCAATGAAGGAAAATATACAAACATATTAAAAGCATGTATAATATATATATTATATATAATGTGCATATTATACATAATGTGTGTATATATATGTATATATTATTGATAGAGAATCTGGTGAGTTTGTTCATGTGAAAAGCTGCATTGAGAGGTATTTTACTGAGCATTTGGAAGGGAAAGAATTAACCAGTGATTTAAAGAAAACTATGCAATTGAAAAAATGAAGCAATTACTAACTCAAGTTGCACGTGAAACACATATGTGAGCATATAGAACCAGAGTGCGTTGCATGGCCCAGCAGCCAGCCACACTTAGAGTCTTTTCTTAATGGAAACACTGAATATGCATTTAACAAAAAAATGGTGACATAACAATACTGGAATGGTTAGGGAAGGGAAGAGGAAGAAGGTTCTCAAAGACTGAAAACCTTCATCTCCCACAGTAGGAAGGCAGCAGGTAACAGCTGAACGTGACCGTGAACCCAGAAAGCAGGAAGTGCCTATATTGAGCATCTCAGAGGTAAGTCTCTGACGTAGCAGGTGAAAGAGCTCAGAGTTGTAGTTCTGGGCGGCAGCAGATGGAGGGGTCAGGGTCCTGCCGATTTTTGTTTCAAGCACTGTTTTTAGCACTAATTGACATCATAAACTACGGGCACATTATCTCGTTAAAGATTAAAAATTTTAATGGGGCAAGGGAGGGAAGACACTGTTAAAAGAAAATTCTCACAATAGGGATATTTTCCTCGTTTTTCTGGCCGTGGAAACC